TATATATAAAACAATCGAATGATTTCAAACCATTGTCAATAGATAAAATATCAAATACGAAACAATATGATAGATTTATTTTTCCTTATTGTTTATCTATTGACAATAATGTCAATCCACATAATCGAGGCATTTTGAAACGAAATGAAAAGAAATTTAAAAGAAATATATGTTATGAAGAAAAACAAGTTGTTAAACATTTTGATTCATATGCAAGACGATTAACTACGGCACCGAAGATAATTCAATCATTAAAGAAAAAATAATATTTTTAATATGCAATTCGTTGATTTTTTCAACATAATCCTATGTGATAAGGATTAAACTATTGTTCTAACTATCATTTATTTTTTTAATCTTTATTTTAATAGGATATACGTTGTTTAACTCGACCTTTCTTTTTTTTTTTTCGTTTTTTGTATTTGTCATTTTTACTTGTATACTTTCAAAAATAGGTGTCAAAGTCCAAACAATAATAAACATATTCATTAATCACAATGAATCATCCATTACTTGACAATGAAGTACGTTTGGAAAAATTCAAAGATATTATTATTAGATATGATATTAATTATGATTTTGCATTTCATCTACGAGCTCTTGAAGGTTTTGAAATAGTTCTGATACTTGATGATAGTTCATCAATGTCTACACCAGTTATTGATCGAAATCAACAAGGTATTTCACCATTTAGTCGATTACCGACACGTTGGGATGAACTTAAACATGTTGTATCAATCGTTGTTGATCTTGCTTCAACATTAGATCCAGATGGTGTTGATCTATATTTTCTAAATCGTCCACCACTTTTACATGTAACTGATTCATTACAAGTAAATGAAACATTTTCTAGATTACCCAATGGTCCATCACCACTTACAAGTACTCTTAAAGAAGTTCTGAATATAAAACGTTCACATATACTCGATAGAAAATTATTAATATTAATTGCTACAGATGGTATACCAACTGATGATAAAGGACAAAGTGATCTTATTGGTTTAGAAAGAGTTCTACGTAATGAACGACAACCGTTTATTGATCGAATTTATATATCATTTATTGCGTGTACAAATGATCTTCAATCAGTTGGTTATTTAAATAGATTCGATAAGAATATTCCTTATGTTGATGTGTTGGATGATTATAATAGCGAACGTGCTGAAATTTTAGCTGTACAAGGAAAAACATTTCCATTTTCTTATGGAGATTATGTTGTTAAAATTTTATTAGGTTCGATTGATCCATGGTTTGATCAATTAGATGAAAGAAAAGTTAAATTAACTAATGGTGGTACCCAAAGAAAACGACGATTTTCTCGACCTAGTATAACTAATCGTGAAAAGAATTGTACAATTTCATAAACGACACATAATATTGTAAACAAGCAGAAATTGTAGGGGTTTGCTTCTTTTTTTTCTTTGTATATTCATTTTCATAGAAAATAATAGTTCAGGATTGTATTTACCCGACTAATATATCTTTTAAATAAAATTATTAGAATGAGATTAATTCTCAAA